GGAAGGCGGTTTGGAGCTAACGACTATATAGTTGTTTTACTGTTGTTTTCGGTATTCACTATAACAAAAATCATTTATTATCAACGGTACTTTTTTACGGTATGTGATAAAATATCACAAAAAAAAAACGGCACTTTTTTACGGCAATCGATCATTTTCAAGCAGATTTGGAATTTATCGGTGGCTTTTCGACTGAAAAAATTTCCTCCAGTGAAACTTTTTTTTGTTTTTGGGAAAATTGGGGCAAAGCCCGTATATAAAGATTAAGCAAAATTAAATGTTACAAAAATGAATAGCCTGAGATAACCGGCTAACAACTACAGACACAAAAATCAAAAAGCCAAAGAAAAGGCTTCAAAATTTTACAGGACTCAGAAAATGCAGAATCCGCCGAGGACATAATATACATCAGAGTAGAGATCAGAGTCAGATGTCCACTGCCAAAAGGGTTGTCGAAAAGATTTCCTCCCCAGTTGCCAATCGGGGGAGACACTAGTGAGCTCAGGGTGCAACAAAAATTGCCAGGTCAAGTGACAAACCACAAATGAACCTCCACCCCTTGGCCATCCACGGGAGAAAGGCACACAGGCGGATTCACTCATCATTGTCCATTCGCACAAACCAAAACCCAAACCACTTGAATCAGAAGAAACAAGAGGGGAAAGAAGAATAAAGTAAATCATCATATTTCCTTCTAGCCCATTTCTAAGTAAAGGCCCCAGCAATTTTCCGGCATAACACATGACAAGTTGAAGAAGAGTCAGAAAATTGTCTGCCATTATGCTCCCTCCACAGAAAATAAACAGCCCCACAAATCACAAAAAAAATAGAAATTCTTCTTCACATTGCTATATATGCACAACTCCTCAATAAAATCAAACAGCTGTAGGATAGTTGGCCTAAACAAGGAGTCTAAACAAGGAAGTAGATAAGAGATAACGCCAAAAGAGTAATCACATTGAAAAAACAAGTGAGAGCTATTCTCCAAACCCCGTTGACAGAAAGGGCAAGTAGCATCAATAAAAATATTTTACCTTGCTAAGACGTCAACAATCTTTAAACCTCCCCGGACCAAGAGCCAAGAGTAAGAAGAAAATCTTAGAACTGCATGCTTATGCCAAATGAATCTATACCAGCTCACATTGTGCCTCCCCACAAAATAATTTAATCTAAAATCCTTAAAATAAGGTTTAGCAATATCAATCCAGTTAATAGTATCATCAGAGCTTTCCTCAATCATAATACCAGCAATAAGCTGCTGAATCACAGTAGGAATGAAATCTGGCACACACCAATTCCCATTCCAGTAATCTGCAATCGTCCCAGAACAACCATGGGAGGTGTTAAGGTATTCAGCCAGGGAAAAACCATTAAGCCAAGGATCCCAAAAAAATGAAATTTTGTTACAATTTTGAGCAGTAACATTAAAAATAAAGTGTCTTTTTATCTTAGAAGCAACCTCACAAATATTTCTCTAGAATTTAGAGGATTTAGTGGGCAAAGGTTTCCAAGGGGAGAGATACTTGAATATGAACCAATCAAAAACTAGAGAACTGGAGTTAAAGAATCTCCATATGAAAGAGCATGCAAAGTCGTGAGAAAGGGAGAGAAGATCAGGGATCCCCAAACCCCCCAACTTAGTAGGGAGACAAGTATTCTGCCAAGCAATAAGGTGTAATTTCTTCCCCTCAACAGAACCATGATAAAGAAATCTAGAACACATTCTGTCAATGAGTTTACAACATGCTTTGGGTATAATAGCACCCCTTATCTAGTAGGCAATAGTATTTGTAATGGTGAACCTTAGAAATTGAATGCGACCTGTAAAAGAGAGAAATTTTACTTTCCGACCCACAAATAGAGTAGAAATTCTACTCAATAGTGGTTGGAAGTAAGAAATATTGAGCTTTTTGGTAGAGATGGGCAGCCCCAAGTATTTGAAAGAATGCTCAGTTGGGAGAAAATCAAGGATGTTGGAAATATCATTAGCAACCGCCAGGTTATTAGAAAAAAGGATAGAGCATTTAGCCTTGTTAATGTGAAGGCCAGAAGCCATAGCAAAATTATTTAAGATCTTGGAAAGTTCAATGGCATTGGAAACGGTGGCCAAATCAAACACCAACACATCATCTGCATAAAGCAAGTGGCTAAGAGAGCCCGACCCTAGGGGAATCCCTAAAAAGGAACCCCCATCGATTGCGCAAGAAAAAGCATCCATGGCAATAGCAAATAAGATCGAGGATAGAGGACAACCTTGTATTAATCCAGCATAAGAAGTAAAAAACCCCTCAAGAGCACCATTAATGCAAATCGAGAAAGGAACATCAAATATGCAGTTCTTAATCCACGAAATAAATTTATCAGGAAAGCATTTGTCTTTCATCCTAGCAAAAAGGAAGTCCCAAAAGACAGAGTCAAAAGATTTACAGATGTCCAATTTAGCATAAAAATACTTCGTAGAGGAATTTCTATTGAATTCATTTAAAATCTCATTGGCCAGAATGATATTATCAGAAGAGATTCTTTTGAAAATAAAACCAGCTTGACTTTGATGAATGATGCTAGGCATAACAACTTTCAGACGATTGGCAAGAATCTTGGTAATGATCTTGTAAAAGACATTACAAAGAGAGATAGGTCTGTAATCTGATATATTGGAGGCTTGTTGATGCTTAGGGAATAAAGCAATGGCAGTAGATTTAGCTCATCTAGGGAGGTGTCTAGTAGTGAAAAAATTCTTAACAGCATTAATAACATACAAACCAATGATGTCCCAAGAGCCTTTGTAAAATTCAAATGTGAAGCCATCGGGCCTAGGGGAAGAGGTCGAAGCCCCACTGAAAACCATCTCCTTAATTTCAAGATCAGTGACCGAATCAATCAGCTGATCGGTCAAATGCAAGGGAATGACGCCACCACAGGCAAAAATAAACTCATTGATACCAGCCGGGCTTATGGGGTTATAGAGTTTTTTAAAATACTCACAAATAGCATTGGTAATATCAGAAGATAAAGAAAAATGACCTTCATCAGTAGAAATCTCATGGATTCTAGAATAGTTATTTCTAGTATTAATACGGGCATATAAAAACCCCAAGTCATATTCACCGTTTTTAAGCCATCTAGCCTTAGCCCTTTGGATGATACAAGAGGACCAAGCATGCAGAAGTTAAGAAATTGAGGTATTGATATCCTTCAGGGAAGCATTCAGATAAGGGAGTTGAGGGTTGCATTGTAAAAGTTATAAACATTCATTCTACTTAATATTAAAGCCCAAAAGCCTGGCTTTAATGAATTGGTCATTGAATCCATTCATCTTTTTAAATTTAGCTTTAAGAAATCTGAGTTTACCATAAAGATTGCCAATGGGACTCCCAACATGATGTGAGGCAAAGAAAGTCAGCAAAACATCCTAATAAGAATCCATCTTCAACCAAAAGTTCTTAAATTGAAACCTTCTAGCCTTATTAGGGGCCATACCGTCCATAAGAAGTAACGGTAAATGATCAGAACAACCAGGAGGGTCAATTTTATAATAGAAAAAAGGAAAGGCATCCAGCCACATTTGGTTAACCAGCATTTCAGGGCATTCAACATCAAACATCTTGTCCCTACACGCATGAACAGAACGGATTGGCTGAGCGCAAACACAGACATCTCATAGAAACCACTTGCACTCTGTTACACAATTCTTATATCCCTCACTCATTCTGGCCTGATGCTGTTCTCACTACTTCCTACCTTATCAATCGCTTACCGTCAGCCACAAATCATCTTTCCTCTCCTCCCTACCTTCTGTTTCACAAATTACCTGATTACAAATTCCTCCTATATTCAGTTGCGCGTGCTTTCCGTGGATTCCACCTATTCAAAGAAACAAACTTGAACCTAGATCAAGGCAATGTATCTTTATTGGCTACTCTAGTATTTCCAAAGGCTACAAGTGCCTTGATCCAACAACCAATAAAATCTTTGTCTCTAGACATATCACTTTTGATGAAACTTGTTTTCCGTATAAACAACAAATTTTCTCTCAACTCCAGCAACCTTCTCCTGTGCTTACTTCATCTCTTCTTGTCCCTCATTCAAATTCTCATCAAACCAATCAGAGAAACCATACTAGTGCTAAACGTCAGCCTCCTCTCTCTCAGCCGGTTACTTAGTAGGACTTGCTACCTGTGTCATCCAATTCAACTGAATTACCTACATCTTCCAATAACACCAATGTTCCTCAGTCTCCCTCGACATAAAGTGCTATTCCTACTACTCTTAGTATCACTTTGGGTCATCCGATGATTACAAGATTTCGAACCGGTTCACTCAAACCAATTCAAAAACTCAATCTCCTCCACATTCAAAATCAATCTTATTCCTCTACGCCACCTGAACCCGTCAACTATTCTGAAGCTAGCAAACATTTTGAGTGGCGAACAGCCATGGTAGAAGAATTTCATGCGCTGCAACGTCAGGGAACTTGGCAGCTGGTACCACCTCCTTCTAACACGACTATACTTGGCAGCCATTGGACGTTTAGAACAAAATACAACTCCGATGGTACAATTGCAAGGTTCAAGGCTTGATTAGTTGCCCAAGGCAACAATCAACAATACAGCATAAATTATTTGAAAATCTTTAGCCCATTAGCTAAATTCCATACCATACGTGTTCTTCTTACAGTTGCTCTCACCAATAGTTGGCCTATACATCAAATGGATGTCACCAATTCGTTCTTACATGGAAACCTTGACAAAACCATCTACATGAAACAACCTAAAGGATTCATAGACGACAACCATCCCAATCATGTTTGTTAACTCAAGAAAGCGATATACGGTCTTAAACAAGCGCCTCGTAAATGGTTTAATATGTTTTTTGAGTATCTTCAAACTCTCGAATTCTCTCATGGAAAAGCTGATTCATCTCTCTTTGTTCTTCATCACAACAACACTCATATATACATAGTTATATATGTAGACGATATATTATTAACTGGAAATAACATGTCTATGATTAACGATATTATTGCTCAGTTGAACAACAGGTTTTCCATGAAGCATCTTGGACTTGCCAACAGCTTTCTCGGACTCCAAATCAAAACGGGACATAATTTCTACTTTCTATCACAAACCAACTATGCTGCATCTATTCTCAAGCTGGCTGGCATGGAAAACACAAAAACACTGTCTAATCAGTTGTGCACAAAGGTGCCTGAACCGCTTCCAATTACTGAACTCCTCACCGTTCTGAAAGCTTACAGGCAAATCACGAGATCATTGCAATATCTCACATTAACAAGGCCATACATTTCCTATGCAGTTAATCTATTGTGTCAAAACATGCACAATCCTTCCTCTCATCATTTCTATTTACTTTATCGTCTATTAAGATATATCTATGACACACTATCTTTCGATATTCCTATCGTGCCAGGTAAACTAGAGCTAAAATATTTCTCGGATGCGGATTGGGCAGGAGATAAGGAGACAAGAAAATCAACATCCGGTTACTGCACATTCTTGGGCCAAACTCTTATCTTCTGGATGGTTAAGAAACAACATACAGTTGCCCGGTCTTCAACCGAAGCTGAGTACCAAGCTCTCGCACTGGCTCTCACTCACATCATCTGGTTGAGAAGACAACTGTTGGACTTCAATATACCACTTCACTCTCCCACAACTCTACATTGCAACAGCATGTCAGCTATAGCACTGGCTAATAATCCAGTCTTTCATGCGCGAATAAAGCATATTGAAATAGATCATCACTTCCTTCACGATCATATTCAGCAGCAAACTATCCAAATCTACCCGGTCTCTACCAAAGATCAAATTGCTAACGTTCTTACCAAATCGCTCTCAACAAACTGCTATGAACTGCTTCGTGACAAGCTTACTGTCATTGAAAGTACTCCATTAGCTTGTGAGGGCATAATAAAGGATACCTGCAAATCTATGTAGTACCTGTAACTTCTATTAGGCTCTCAAGCTTCTATTTATAATCTATGTACTCTCAAGACAGAGCCAATATAACAACCCAAGATCCGTGTAGCGAAAGGATTCATCTGATCGTTCTATTGCCTCTTTTTTTTTTCTTTCTATCGGTTTCCTCATCTATCATTCATACATATATCCAGAGCCAGAGATAATTACATTACAGAAAAGAAATAGCAGCGGATACTATAATTCACATATAGTACAATCAGAGAACAGACAAAAGAGTCCAAAAGAAATATTTACACTAGCCACACAGGCTACAAAAGAAAGCCTACCAAAGGCTACAAAACAAAAAGCTGAACTCGACAGAAAGATCTTCAGACTGGAGGCCCTGCACCTGAAATATTAACCACATATAATGAGCTTACAAAGCCCAGCAGGTCACCAAAGCCTACAACTGAAATCAAAGCACGACATTGAAAACAATATGCAAGTCAACCAAATCAAATCAATAGGCTATGATCAATGAATCTATGCAGGTACGGAACTCAAATTAAATCAAAGCGAATCCATCAATAGTCAATAATAAATACAGCGGTAAAAACATCGATAAATCAATTTCCCAACAATCAAATCAGTAAGTGCTTTCAGTCAATGTCTATCCATCGTAGCGTAGCAGTGTCTATCAATCAATACTATCAATTCAATAAATCGTGTCCATCAATACTATCAGTTCAATCAATCGGGTCGTCTAGTCAATTCGTTGTATCTATATCATTCTTACAAATCAGTCAATCCAATTATTCAATACGATTACTACCGCAGCGAGGACGGTTCAATAATGACGACATACAATGCTACAATAGGAAAATCATCCCAATCAATAAAGCACTTTCCAGTCATTTTCATCAATCGGATCGAATCCCAATAAAC